TGGCTCTCATGAGTGAAAGTGGTTTGTCTTGGTAGTGTCCTTTCCTTGTGGATGAGCACTGGCATGACCAGGGAGGAATTCACTGGCTCCTTTTATCCTCTCAGCAGTGTAGTTTTATTTGCTCGTGCATATTGCTGGATTCTCTGTGAGCTTCTGGCTCTTAAAACGTGAATTTGATTCCTGACCCAGTTCACTCAGAACTGAGGGGTGCCACGTGGGCCAGGCAGGAATGGAGCAGGCAGGGAGAATGGTAGAGTTCAGAATTCTGCTTTCAAGTGTCAGTGGAGCTGTGTGCTTTGGGAAAAGATGAATTTGTGGAATCAAATGCAAGGCTGCAGCAGTGCACTGCCTGCAAGGTGGCAGTCACAAAAGAGCACTGCAAGCCTTTGGATCAGGGTCTGGATTTCTGTCACCTGCCAGGTTTTGCTGCTCCTGAGCACTGTCTCAAGTCTTTGCTTTGTCCTGTGCAATGCGAGCAAGTCTGGAATTGGGGTTATTAGCAGTGGCTTATGACTCCTTGCCAAGGAAAGGGCAATTGAAGTTAACCTTTAAACCCTCTGGAAAATCACTGGTTTGGGTGAGAGCTGTCTTGTATTGAAAGGGTTATTTGGAAATGCAGAGTGATGTTGAATGTTCTGCTGATGTTACAGACAAAACTGACACTGGATATTTTTACTGACTGGGTTAATCCTGAACTGAACCAATTTGAATTTACAAACAGTGACTGTTAAATCCTGATATCTTAATTATTTTATGCTCCTGATGTGGGCTCTGCAAACTAACCTACCTTGGTGCTCATACAAAACCAGGCTAAATGATCACACAAAGGGATGCTGTGTAAACAGCCCAGAGAAGCAGAAAAGGAGAGCTTTTATTTGCAGAGATAGCAGCAGTCTTTCATTAATTTTAAAAATAGAACAGGCTCTCAAGGATTGCCTATGAGTTGATATGATGTGGAAATGGAAATTGTCTGGCAGTGCCTAGAAAGTGGAGCATTGTTTGCTCAGGAGTTGTAATACCAACTGTGAGTTAACTGGAGGGGCTGATGGATTCTGGCTGTACTGCAATCACAAGCTGCATGCTGAAACAGTTTTGTCACCAGTGTAGTCATTCTCCTGGCAGGGTCACTTACTCAGTGGTAAAGGAATCATAAAATCTTTGAATAGCTTGGACCTTAAAGCTCATCCTATTCTGACCCCTCTGCCATGGGCAGGGACATCTTCCACTCTCCCAGCTTGCTCACAGCCCCATCCAGCCTGGCCTTGGACACTTGCAGGGATGGAGCAGCCACAGCTCCTCTGGAAAGGGAGATCTGGGTTTATTTTTCCATTAGTTCTACATGGTTTTAATTACATGAATGGAAATAAACCAGAATCTTATTCCATATTTTTTCAGTTACTGTCAAATAGATTATTTATCTTTAAGGAAAGAAATTAAAGCAAATGCCACATCATTATACTTCTGTTTTTATGTGCTTCCCTTTCTATGGTGCCTAAATACCTGGATGACTTGCTCAACTGTACTTTTTCAGAGATGTGCATGCTGGATGACATACATGTTTTAACTTGAATCGTTCCTTTTAAATGCCTTCCTGTAGTTCTAACCACTAGATTAATAACAAGAGCTAACCTTCAACCCAAACAGGTCAGTGAGTATGTGAGTACCCAGGCATAATCCTGATTTCTGCTAAATGCTGCTTTACTGTATTACTCAGTCTCTTGCTCTTTTTCTTTAAATATACTTTCTCATACACGCTTTTCTGAGAACCAGTGCAAAATACTTAGTCATAGGTAGGTATGGCAAGAGTTTGCTGTGTTTGAAGCATTAGTAGTCAAGTGTGAAATTGTGCACGTAAGGCAGGAATGTAAAGTGAGGGAGCTGCTCTCTTTAAATCAAAGGGCAGACTTGGGTTGACTGGGAGTGAAAAAGAAGTTTTCAACAACAAAGCAAATTCTTGCCGTGACTTTCTCTGTTCTGTTGGATAATTACCTTGTGAAGTGTGCCTCACTGCATGGAACCACAGCAGTGTGGCCAGGGCAGTGTTTTGGGAGGGAATCCTCTGATCAGCAGCTTGTTGGAACCATCCTGCTTCCAGGGCTGCTGAAGGAAGCCAAGGAAAGCATTCCTGTGTCAGTGAGTGTGACACCTCAGTGCCTCCTGTGTTGAAAAAATGAAGTCTTCTTGCTGACAAGAAGAGCAACTCGTGGTTTCTGTGCAATTCCCCCAGTGTTTTCCAGGGGCAGCCACAGGGGTGAGGGAGGAGAGTAGGACATTCAGGTGAGTCTGTGGGCGAGCTGTGATGGTTCTGTGCTGTATCAGCACCCCCTTTTCATCCTGGAGTAAGGGTTCCATGGGCTTTAATCACACAGGGTTTGCAAAATAAAGTGTTAGTTTGGAGGAAGAGAAAGCAATATGCTCTACCTCTGGGTTTTCTACTCTGTTCTCTGAGCTCATGTCTGCCAGGAGTGCCAGGGCTCTCTTGGTTGTGTCATTTAAACAAAAAGAAAAGAAATCACTTCAAGTGTTTTTCTTCTTTCTCTTTTCTCAACAACTGGAACTCTAAAGGCTTAGAAATATATTAAATTAATTCAAGCTTCTTGTTCCTGGAAAGCAAATGCCCTTCACGTACTTGCAAGGAGAAAAATGACAGGCAGAACTCTGGAGATCTCAGTCAAGACTTTTCTTTTACATCAAACTGCTTTATATTTTAATTTCACTGTTCTTGCTTTATGTGTCAGCATGTTTTGGTGGTTTTTTTTTGTAGCACTTGTTTTTCAACACCACAGTAGAGCTTAAAGAACTAGGATACAGTGTTGTGAGCAAATAAGGAATATTTTAGAGCTGATTTTGAAGATGAGCAGTTTTTTTTCTCTTCCTGAGAAGAGCTAAATAGCAGTAACAAATAAGCACCTTCTTTTCTGGGATCTAAATGGTGTTGCTCCTGATAAAATGGGGACTTAATGATGCAGTGAAGTCTGGGCTGGACAAGTCCTCTCTCAATTCTGTTTGAGGTGTTGGGTTGCTCAGGGAAGAGAGGCAATAAGTTTTTTGGATCTTGTTATGACTGGCCATCTTCAACAGTCAAGTGAGGACATGAACAAGTGTCTGCAGTCAGTGAAGACATGAAGAGCTTGAAGCTCTTTATATTCTCCTAATGTGCTTTGCTTGCCCTTTGGATCAGTTTTGTCCCTGTAGGTAAAAGCACTAGCCAAGGCAGGGTGGTACAGATCCTGTTCATTTGGGAGCACATGCTGTTTATCAGTAGGGTCAGAAAGGGCAGAAGAGTGAGCTGGCAGGAGGGAGAACTGCCTTCTCCTCCCCACTGGCGTGCCCCTAAATTTTCTTGTCAGCATTTCCTGTCTTCTGTTCTCACACCTGATGTGAAGACACTGCCTTACATCTGCAGAGCTTCATATCACAGGATGGTAAATGGGACTCCAAGCCAGGGTGCTGCCTGCACTGACTGACTTGTGACAGGCAGGCTCTTCTCTTGCTAGAAGCCAAACACCAATCCCAGGTTTATTTTTCATAGGTTATTCTATAGCTGCTGAAGGATGACTTCTGATTAGCAGTGATGAGAAGATAATTGGGACCATCTGCCCCAGATGTGGTAAAAGGCCTCCCTAGCTGGCAGCACCTGATCCTCCTCACCACCCTGTCCAAAACAAACATACCTTTCATCACTTCTTCAAGGCAGCCACAAATCCATCTGTACTTTGGATATGATGTTGTATCTTTCTAGGCTGTGGCCTGGAGGGCAATAATTCATAGTGGTGTAGGCTCCAAGTGATATCTGCAGTCTTTCAGAGTTGTCACTGCCTTGATAGGAACAGAAGCTAACGTCTTGTGTCTCCCATTACCCACAAGAACTGACTGAAATTTTCTGACCTTGTTAACATTACAGATGTGTCTCCTTGGAGATAATGACTCAAACTTTCTAAGCTATTCTTTCTGCTTTTTTTCTTCTTTGTGGCTGATTGTTACTTAATTCAACAAAAAGGGATGTAATTTCCAAGATTTCCTGCTTTTAATCAAGAATGCTGCTTTCCTGTATTTAAAAAAACCACAAACACTGAACCCTCCCCCAAAAAACCCACTCCAAGTTTTAAGAAGTGAATTTCATACCTTTTTTATGCTCTTTCTCTGTAAGGCCTTTCTCAGTGTCATAAGCTGCTTTGTGTTTCCTGAACTTTATTTAAACAGAGGCTTGTTTTTGTTCACATGAATTGAGGAACAGTTTTGATCATCTAGTAAGCTGTAGACCACCTGTGAAGAAAATAAAACATGATTTAAGGTGAAAAGATTTGTTACCATGCCAATCTTGTTTTCCTTCCGTGTGAGTGGAAGGGTCACTGTTGTTATAGAAGTGTGTGACTGAAAGAGACCACCTGAGTTGGAAAGTAATTTCTTGTTCTTCCCAATCCTCCTCCTGCCCTGCAGACTATGGACTAATAAAAGTTCAGTCAAAAAAATTATGGGAAAAGCCTCCATGGGAACATGTGTCATTAAAACAGGGAGTTTGAATTTCCAGCAGTCCCTCAAGTGTATGTTTAATTTGGTGAAAGAATGAGCCTGGTTAGGCTTAGTGTTCTCCCTTCTTTCAGAGTAGTGGGAGATCTTTCCACCTGCTGCAAAGGGAGTTTCCCACCCACCAGAGGTAGAAATCTTGCTGCTCTCTGTTTCCTCCCTCCCACTGAGTTCCCTGCACGGGCAGCATGTATTTCCTCCTGATCTGAGATGCACATTGTCACCAGCACGATTTTACCGGTGTGGGGGTGCCAAAACAGATGGATTGTGTAGCAGGGAGGTCTTCTTGGTTCACCCCGAAAAGAAACCTGACCTCTGGGGAAGTCCTTTTTTTGTGGCATCTCTTAAAAGAAGCTCTTCCTTTGAGCTATTTGTGGCATTTGCATATGTGCATCTCCTCAGAACCTTGTGGGAATAAACTTTTAATGCCTCTCCTATTTTACCTACTTCTGTTAATTATGTTTTCTTTGTAATTTTTGGTTTTTTTGTTATGCCAGCAAACCTAGGCAGCAATTTATGCTGTATCCATGCTAAGATTCACTTAGGCTGAACTCCTTTCTTGTTGGTTTGACTGACTTCTTTCTATTCCTGTATCTCTTTGCATTTTATGTGAGGACCTCCTAAAAGTATGAACTCGTGCTGCAGTGTGAGAACAAAGACCAATTTAGTCTTTTCCCTGGGACTTCCATAAAATAAAATACTTAAAACATCTCCATTAAAATGTCTGCATTGATGAAGGGAAGGGGGGGGGGAAAGCCTTTTCCTCCAGCAGTGGCTTGATTAATGGAATTATTGTTTGTACAGATTTTGTCAGGAAGCCATATGGCTTGAGGAAAACAAAGAGGAAGTGGCTGATGTTGGGAATCTGATTTAATAGGGGTCCCTAAGGACAGAATGTGGCTCTTATCCTTACTCCTTCCCACTCAGTTTGCAGAGTGGTCTGAGAAGAGCTTTAGGGTTTCAGTAGAGCTGCAGATAATGCAGCTCTGTTGGAGTGGAAGTGTCGGTCCCTGCTGCTGGATCAGCATCACAGCCACTCCATTCTCAGGTTCAGAATCCACTGTTCTTCAGCTTTTGTATAAAGTGTCCTGGGGTAATTAACAAACAGCAGTAATTGAAATGTTTACTATTTGTGTATTGGCAGCTGATCAGTTTGCAGTAGATGAAGAAAACTTTTTTAGCATCTCAAAGCTCACTTTTCATAGTTTAGGGTGAGATGATTATTTCTCTATCTCTCCCTTCCCCAGCAAAATTCAAGCATCTGTGCCTCTGGATTAACTAATTCACCATCTGTATCCTAAAACCAGACTTATTTTCCTAATCTAACATATGTAAGTGGGGATTGGTAAGTAACTGGGGCTCAAGCACTGACTTAACCTGATGTGGTGGGTTAGATGAATGTTCTGCATTTTCTATTACTGTTTGACCCTATTTAGGAATATGTGGTGAATAAACCTGAGTAGAGAACTTAAAGGAATGTTCTCTAATGGAACTGCAATCAAATACATTAAGGAGATTTAACAAGCCTATCTTCCTTTTGTTAAATTGCAGCTTCTCAGCTGAGGGACGTAAACTCGCCAAAAATTATTCTGTTCATTTCAGAGCTAGAGTAAAAGGCTCATGTGAACCATTAGTAAACGTTAGTGGGTCTGAAAGTGGAAAGCACAAAACATCACAAAAACGTATTCTGGCAACCCAGGAATTTAGCTGCTATTGGTTTGTGAATGAAAGCTGCATATTCAGTCAGCCATGGTGAAAATTATTTCATATGTGCCTGAGACTTTGGGAGCTCCTGAATGTCCTATTGTGGAGTTGGGGGCTATAATGAGAGAAGCAATTACTCCTATAGGGTTTTGATGCATCTTGTGCATGGTCTGGTATTTTACAGACCTCTCTTCTTTTCAGATCTTTAAGAGATTTTTCTTATTTTCTGAACTCTTATGATGTTCTTTTGCTGGAGTTGGTACTTATTACATCTTTCCATCCAAAAGATATTAGGAGACAAACATTTTGTCTGGACAAAACTCGGTGTCTAACAATAGTGGTAGAGGAGATGCTGAAATACTAGTGGAAAATTTTTCTGATTTAGAGCTGTTTTTCAATGCTGCATTCTATAAAGTTCCCACAGAGTTACACATAATAGGTATATTCCTTTAAAATATTATTCAGAAAATGTTTGGTCGTGAACCCTTAAAAATAACCACATTTCACATGTTCTCCTTGGCTGTGCCATATGAAGCAATGTCTGTCACAGTGATGCTGTTAAACATTGTTGTAGTAAGCATCCCTTCCAAGCTGATTATTAGTCTTAATCAGCAGTTTGGGATTTGTTACCTTTTGCCCAGTTCGTTTGGCTGTTTGTGCATGCATTGCTCGTGATTCACTGCTGCAAGGGAGTCAGGGTGTGCAGCTCCAGAGCACTTGGAGGGTTTTACATCTGGAAGTGCTCCAGTCTGAGGATTATTTTCCTTAAAAAGAAAATTGGGAAAGATTATTTCACAATCTCCTATATTTACAATTTACCAGTGGTAGATGCTCGTGACTACCTAATACAGTGCTTAGGTTTTTGGGTTTTTTTGTTTTTTTTTTTTTCTAATGTTCTGGAAAGCTGTTGAAATGTTGTTTACCACACTTAAGTTATTTATAGAAGGAACATGTCACACCAGGTATAAGAAGCAGCAAATTAAGAGCAGTATTCCACATTTCTTTCCAACTAACTTGTCAAAAATAAAATACTGCATATGTTTACCAGGCTGTTGTAGATCTATAGGCGCCAGGTGAGCACTGTTTTTCCAAAACATTCAAGGAAGGAAGGGGAATAGAACTTCATCTTCAAGAAGGTTGTTTCACTAATGTATGACAATATTTCTGTTTTTCCTTCTAGGAACTGCCCTCATCAGCAGAGTGAACACTGATGCCTGAAGTAGCAGATTGTGCATAAGCAGACATCTGTATTCATCTGCAGGTAAGAAATTAGCACCAAAACCCTCCAAGAGTTTCCCTGCTCTCTTCTGAAAGTACTTTCACATAAAGCATTTGGAAGCCTCTAAAGTTTCAAGAATCACAGAATGACCTGGGTTGGAAGGGACCTTAAAGATCATCTCCTTCCACCCCCTGCCATGGGCAGGGACACCTTCCACTATCCCAGCTTGCTCAGAGCCCCATCCAGCCTGGCCCTGAACACTTCCAGGGATGGGGCAACTTGCCAAGTTCATCACTCCACCTTTGTTCCTGAGAAGAGAAATCTGAGCAAGATCCCATTTCCCCTGCTCTGTGCAGCCTTTTCTCTGAACAGGTGTGTTCTGGGCAGACCTGCCCTGGCCCTGCTGAGTTTCTCTCTCCTGTGGTGGTGTGATCTCCATGGGGTATGCACCTTCCTGGCATCTCAGGCCCATAGCTAACCTGTCCTGGGTGTGGAATGAGAGGAGGCCTTTGTCCTTGGATCATCTGCTTGTCAGAAGATCCTGGGCAGCAGATCTTCACTTGAGAAAGAATTTCTTTACTGAAAGGCTTGTCAAGCGTTGGAATGGGCTGCCCAGGGAGGAGGTGTCACCATCCTTGGAGGTGTTCAAGAAACAACTGGTGCTGCTTCTTTGGTTTGGTTGACAAGGTGGTGTTTGGTCAGAGGTTGGACTCTGTAATATTAGAGATCTTTTCCAACCTAAATGATTCTGTGATTTATGGTAAGGAGCTGTCCCCAGCTTGGCCACTCAGACACTGAAAAAAAAAAAAAAAATTATCAGGAAAAGTGAATGGTAGCAGGTAGTGTTTTTCCTGACCACATGATGAATCCTCAGTAGAGGAAAAATATCAGAACTTTGACTAAAATTAATACTTCTAGATTATGCATTAGTTTATTTTTCATATTGGTTTGATTTTTTTTTTTGAGTCCCCTGTTTTATGATGTAGATGAGGCTGGTGAAACAAGTGTGAAAAACTGAGAATGCAGCTTCTTCTCTGGCTTGTCATCATTTACAGGCCTTGTTTAAAACTGATTTGCTTTTTGTGCACACATAGCTTCTCAGCGATAGATTTCCATAGCAGTCACACCACCTTTTTCATTTCTGGGTGTATATTGTCATTTTACCACTCCTTCTATTGCACATGCAGTATTTATAGCAGTATTCTGTTGATAACTGAAGCAGCTGAGGGGCCAGCAGAGCTCAATAAATTAAAATGCTTTGTTTGTTTGCCACAATGACATCTTGTCTCATGCTCTGTACATCAGAGGTACAGATAAGGATAAAGGTACAACAGCTTTATCTGGCTACAGGAAAAGCTGAAGGAAAACAGCATTGGATGGATCTTCCATTATCCTTAATATAGTGTAGAACTAGTAGAAATGTCAGAGCACAGAGATAAAATGCAGTCTGTGGTGAAGAGGAGCTTTGCTGAAGGGTGGTACATGTGTGTGGATGCATGTGTCCATATGTACAGCTCCCAAAATGCTGTGTTGGCCAGAGTCTAGCTTCAGACCTGTCTTAAGTTGCCTCATACCTGAGAGGTGTTTTGGGTTATTCATTAAAGCACTTTCAGCCCCACATTCTAGGCACCTGACGTGTCTCTTTAAAGCACAGCAGTGGATTGTTCCTAAAGCAAACATTTCCAGAGTGTTAATTGCTGCCTTCGGCCAACATCATTTTGCTCAAGGGGTGTGATGGTTTGTGTGGGGGGCTGGTACCAGCCATGGGGACACTGCTGCTGGCTAAACCAGCACACAGAATTTAGACAGGCACTGGTCTCTTTTTCCTAGGTGCCACTCAGCCAGAGCACATATACATATGTATGTTAACCTGGAACTCCGGGAAGCTTGGAATGTAATGGTGTTGAGCCAGGTTGTCTTCTGCCAAGTTAAAATATTTAAGAATTTGTTGTTGACTCTATTTTGAATAAATTCCTTTGAGTGGAGTGAGTTTGTGGCTGGCAGCCAGGTGACTGCAGTGTCACTTCTTTATTTGTCACTTTGAAACAAGTCATGTGAGTTACTGTCTCTGAATGATTTTATTGTATGAGAGCAGAAGGTATTTGCCTGCTGGAAATTCGTCAGGATGGTGCCTGCCCATCCTTATATGTGGAGAGTGACTTATTTACCTTCGCTTGTTTTGAATAAACCAGTTTGGTTTTTTTGCCTTAAGCATCACTAATGTAATTTGTTGTTGTTACATGACTTTATTTTGCTTTGTGTTTCGGGGTACAAGACAGGATCAGCTTGTAGAATGTGTTTCATTAAACAAGTATGTGTTTCATGTTTTTCCCCAGCTGAAATAATGGATTTTTGTCCTTTTAAGAAAAACAATATCAGTCCAGTTTTTTTCAGTGTTAATAAATAATATAATGAAGGAAAGGAACAGAACTTACTTACACTGGCAGCACAAGTGGACATCAAATTAGAGGAGTAACTTTGGGAAGTATTTTTCTTTCAATACTTTAAATATGAAAAGCAGACAAAAATAGACAATTTTTTCTTTGAAGTTCAGAGTAGGTCTAATGATGCTTTAAATTGAATTAACTTGCACAAAGTCTTAAATACAGTTGACAAAAAATGTTTTGAGACCCACTTCAGAACCTTTCACTTGCAGAATGCTACTTTATGTTTTTCTGCATAGTGAATACTGCCTTTTCTGGGATGTTTGATAAGCAACAGAACCAGACTTTGTTGGTTTGTGAGCACTGAGACTTAATTTATATCCTCCAGCTGTTTTGTGGCCTGTGTTTGTCATGATTGAGATGTCTTTGACCTAGCAGAGCTGGGCAGATATTTCTGCTGGTTGGGCTGAAAAGCCTGTGTGCTCCCTTCCACAACCATGGAAGCAGAGTGCAATTCCTTTGTCATCTGAGTGCCCCAGGTGATGAATCAGAAAATACTCCATTCATTGAGCTCACGATTTTCTGCCCTTCACCTTTTATTGGTATCCACTGAAGGGCATTAATAGGTGCGAGAAGTTGCCAGGTGCTCTTAGAGAGGATCTCTGGCTCAGGGCGAGTTTTGCTCCGAGGTGTTGGTGAGTTTTGGTTGAGGTGAGGAATAATCTCAGGAATAATCTCAAGGGAAAAGTGCTGCCTCTCAGGTTCTCATTGCTTCTCCTGCCCATCTCAGCTTTGCTGGGTGCACACTTTTCTCCTGATGCCTGGGCACTGAGTCACTACAGGAAAAAACAAGTTTTCTTAGACAGTGGTATCGCTGGGATCCTTGAGTTTTGCTGCATTCTTTGCATTACAAGAGATACTTTTCATCTCTTGTCTCTCTTCCTCACTCCAGAACTGCACCCTGAACAAAGTGCCTCTTGTTTCCTTGCTGTCTGCGTTGCACTTGTTCAGACTGGTGGGGTAGCAGAGCTGAAATTGAAGATACCATGGCATATGCATCCATTTCTTTCTTCTTCCTCACTTGGTTACATTTTTATTATGTGCAGCTTCTTGCTTTCTCATTTAAGGCTTCTTCTCCTTCACTTTATAGTCCTGTGTATATCTGTCCTTACATAAAACTTGGATCTTATATCCACATCTGAATGGTTTCTTGCATTTGAAGCAGCAGTACTTCAAGTATTGGAAATGGATTTCAACGCATTGAATAATTTGAAAGTGTTTCTGAAGAAATACAGTGGTCTGATAGTTGGAAAAAAAATTCTTCCAGTGGTTTTTCAGAGTTGGGTTTCATCTTGTGCTTGCCAGCTGAGGGCAAACTGAAAATGGAATGTAAGTGGAGACAGGATGTCTGGAAAGGACACAAGTATTGATAATAAATGGTGGGGGTGGTGTGTGGAAATGCCACTTACATGAAGAGACAGTAGTCCCTGGCTTTTCTGCTTCAAAAATATTTGGTTCTTGAGACATGGGTTGCTGCATCCAAGCCCTGGGTGTTGCAGGCAAACCATTTCCTCTTTTTTTCATTAGTTTATCAAGCTTTGGCAAGGTTTGCATCTTCTCACTTGCTGTAGAACAGTGGAAGAAACAGAATTATGCAATTCCTGTGGACTATAAAGTTAAAATGACTTAGTTTGGGTTTTATTACTTTATCAATCACTGGGGAATTCTGTAATATTCTAATCTTGGTAGTAGCAAAATGTGGAAGACTTCACCTCATGGATGTTTAATGATTCACTATCATTAAACATTTGAGAGGAAAAATATGCCTATTACTCAACAAAAGTTTTCCCACTTTATTTACTGCTGTGTAAACATCAAACTCTAGTTTTTCCCAGTCTGCAACTGCAAAGATAGTGTTGTTTTTTGCACTAATTGCAAGGCACATTAGTCATTTTTCTCTCTGGCAGGAAAGAAACTCAGCTTTTTTGGGGGCATGTCATTTTGATAGAATCTCTTCTTTGTTCCATGTAGATTTGGCAGTTCTGCAGACTGCTTCCTATAAAGGGTAGTTGCACAATTGTTAAAAACAAGGATTTCTGAGCTTTAAAGAAATAGAGGTTTACGTTTTGAATTGCAGTTGTTAAGGAAACATGCTTTAATATTTGATATCTTGGAGTGAGGAATAAAAAATAGCAGCTAAATCAAGTCAAATGCATCTCATTTTTCAAATTGCAAAAATCTTACAGATACCTGCAAGTTAATATTCAGGTCATTCATAACTAAATAGGAAGAGATGTGAATGCCTGGCTTACCTCACTCTGTAAACCTGGTTTTGCACTTTTATAAATAAGCATTTTATAAAGAATAATGTAAGATTTTTCATATAACCTTTCCTAGGTTTGAGGAGACTCATGGAGTTGGATTTGAATTCGAATGGATGTATTTATGATTTAAAGCATATCATTAATTCTTTAAATTTTGCCCGGTTTTAGGTGTTTATTTGCTTAGTATCTTATGATTAGCACAAACTGTCTGTGGGCACTTCCCCTTGAGTTCTTTCCAGGATTTAGATTGCTTGCTAGGTAATTGTGTTTAATAAGCCTTTTTGGCCTCCTGATGTTACCTGGTATTGTACACTTCCATAGCTACGTATCAGTA